ACCGAGACCGAGAAATTACCAACAGCGCGGCTCAACGGCGCTCCTCAATTCTCTGACCACCACCCATGGTGGTCGGCTTACTAAAAATGAACCTCAAAACTATAAACTAACTCACATACTCCTCTAGAAACTCAAACCCGACGCTCTATAAGGCCCTAAACGCCAAAGACTCTAGGCTAAACATAACCCGATAACGACGACTACAACCCCTCCTCCGGCGAGAACTGACTAAAAGGTAAGATTATACTTTCTCCTCTATACTATTTTGTTCAAATGCCAAAGAAAATAAAAAATAACATAAAACCGTTAAATGAAAATGATACTAAAAATCCCAGAAACTCATTGTATTTTTATATTTGAAATGTTCTCGTCCCCATTAGAATGAGTTTTATGGGTTATGTATATTAACTCATTTACATGTTTAAAACAAAATAAAAGATGATTTTTGTTTGTTTTACTTGGTGGTGAGCTGTAACTAGGAAGCTGCTGGATTGGGGACCAGCTGTTGTTGTTGGAAGCTGCTAGAACAGGGAGCTGCTAGCGGGTGCTAATTAGAGCGGGGAACCAGCTGTTGTTGAAGTTGTTGGCAGCTGTTGGAGCTGAAACGTGGAGGGGCTACTGTTGAGGTAAAAAATGGTGATTACAGTGTGCAAATCATATCATTCAGCAGGTTCTCTTGAGCAGTATGGGTAATAGTGAAGTTGATTCTAGGTTCGGTCTTCATGCAGAAGCTACCGCTCTTGGTAAATCTTTAAATGACAAATTTATTATTGTCTGCGTCGATGATATAAGGTACTGTATGCATGATGCTTATTGGTTTTGAGACGTTAACGGAGATTATTACAACTATTCTTATATACATTGAAGAACAAATCTTCAAGAACTAAATACAATTATTCTATGTAATGTATGTAGTCCTTACCTGGGAGGAATTGAGTTCAATTACCCTCAAAGAAAGCTTGTCTTACCAATTCTTAGCTTACCATTTGGACACTGCCCTCCAGGTTTTATTGGTTATGCAGTCAACATAATTATCAGCTTCCTTCATCCTTTGACATTTAGTCATACTGTGAAGATTTGAAATTTGTAATCAATTTAAAGTTCTTAAATACTTTAATCCAATTACAATTTCAACAACAATTACATAAATACATTGATACTTACTAGAAGTACATATATCCACCCAGTGGTTGCTTTCGATTTTCTTCATTGTTGATACTCTCGGGTTTTATTTCAATGTCATTTCGCAAACAATGATTGCAAGATCCATTGACTTCATTTTTCCTTCATATATCACTCTATGAACATTCAAGCATTAAAATAAATCAAATCAAATCACATACAAGTTACAAACTGTTTATTCAATATACAAGTATCGATAACTAATCATATAGTAATCGAGTTTCCTTCAAAGGAATGAGAATACTCTCTACTACAAGTATCGATAACTTTATACAACCTACAATATCAATTTCTACCTATAATATTATATAAAAATATTGATATTTATTTTCTACCTAGAATGTCACTTTTTACCTGTAATAGGTCTCAAATCCTTCTTTATTGAAAACCCCAAACCCATAAACCTAACACATATTTTTTTAATAATTTAATACTAAAAAATTAGGGTTTTGACAACATACCTTTTAATTCGATTGCAGCAACAAACAAACAACTATGCTTTCAAAAACACCTTGCTTCTTTTTCGTAGCAACTAATACGCTTCGATTTCAAAAACTACGGTCGTCTTCTATTTTTTTCTTTGGTTAGCAATGCCTTTGATATTTTAATCAATTATGTTATTCATATTTAATCGATACCATTACCCAAGTCTCAATACTTTTGTGTAAGGTATCGATACTTTCGAGGCGTTTTCATTTTTTCATTTCTTTTCAATTCCTAAAGTACCGATACTATGATACATATACTTATAAAAGTATCGATACCGTCAACATATCTGGTAGCGCTTTACCAGTTTTGTTATATTGAAACTTATTTTGTCAAATTGCAACCTGTTATATTGTCATGTATCGATACATGTGTCTAAGGTATCGATACTTTATAGGCACTATTATTGCAATTCTTTTAAATTCCTAAAGTACCGATACTTTGGTGCATATACTTATAAAAGTATTGATACAAATGTCAACCATTTCGGTAACTCTTTATCGGTTTTGTCAAACTGAAACCGGTTTTGTCAAACTTCAACCTGTTATATTATCATGTATCGATACATGTGTGTAAGGTATCAATACTTTCGAGACATTTTCCTTTTTTCATTTCTTTTAAATTCCTACAGTACCGATACTTTGATACATATACTTATAAATGTATCGATACAAATTTCAACAATTTCGGTAGCTCTTTACCGATTTTGTCAAATTTCAACCGGTTTTGTCAAATTCGTTACATGTTTTTGTCAAATTGAAACGAGATTTGTCAAATTTCAACCTGTTATATTATCATGTATCGATAAATGTGTGTAAAGTATTGATACTTTATAGTCGCTTTTATTGCCATTCTTTTAAATTACTAAAGTATGGATACTTTTATACATATACTTATAAAGGTATCGTTACATTTCTACTTTTAACTAGTGTCACTACAAGAAAGTTATAGTATTGTGACAAATTTAATTTTGTAACTATTAGTAGCTTTTTGGTGACAAAATAAATAATCGTCGAATTATATTAAAAAATATATACAATTACGACAAAAGCTAAAATCGTCATAATAATTTGTATCAATTAGCAAACATATGTAACATACAGTGACAAAATAAATTTTATTATGAATTTTTGTCACAAATGTTTCACTTCGATTTTTTCGCACCAAATTAAAGGCATATAATGACAAATTTTGTAACTAAAAGTTTTAGTAACTATGACAGAAAAAATTGTCACAACAAATAATGAGATTTAGATTTGTTCTGATAAATTTTATTTGTGATTATATATTTTAATTATAGTGACAAAATGCATAGTTATAAATGATTATCTCCAATTTATCGTACAAAAACAAAATCATATAGTGACATGATTTGTAACTATAAGCTATAATTATTGTTACAAAAAAATTTGTCAAAACAAATAATGATATTCTAGTTTTTAGTAAAAACACTGTTTGTCATTATATGTTTTAATTATAGTGACAAAATATATTGTCGCAAAGATTTCCCTCCATATTTTTTGTGCCAAAAAAGTCATATTGTGACAATTTTTGTAACTATAAGTGTTAATAATTATTACAAATAACATTGTCACAAAAAATAACGATATTCACGTTTTTGTGACAAATTATATTTGTAGTTATAAATTTTAACTATAGTGATAGTATATATTGCCATAACTATTTTGCTCCACTTTTTTGTTTCTAAAGTTATATTGTCAATTTTTATAATTATAATTTATAGTTATTGTTATATAAAAAATTATCACATCAAATAATAAAATTTAAGTTTTTGTAATTAATTATTTTTGTACTTATATATTTTAATCATTATGAAAAATTAAACTATCATAACCATTTCTCCATATTTTTAGTGTAAAAAATGTTATATAATAACAAAATATATTGTCATAAATATTTTCCTCCATTTTGTTTGCGCCAAAAAAATCATATAGTAACAATTTTTGTAACTATAAGTGTTTATAATAATTACAGAAAAAAAACATTGTCACAAAAATAATGGTATTCATATTTTTGTGACAAATTATACTTGTAGATATAAATTTTAATTATAGTGATAACATATATTGTGATAAATATTTTTCTCCAATTTTTTTGTTTCAAAAAGTTATATTGATAAGTTTTGTAATTATAATTTATAGTTATTATTATAAAAAAAATTATCACATCAGATAATAGAATTCAAGTTTTTTGTAATCAATTATTTTTATAGTTATATATTTTAATCATTATGAAAAATTATATTATCATGAATATTTTTGTCTATTTTTTGGTGCCAAAAATGTTACATAGTAAAAATTTTATAGTCATTGTTGTAGAAAAATTATAACAACAAAAAATTTATTTTTTTATTAATAAATGATTTTAGTCTTTTTTTATAAAAAAAAATTATGTTTGTAGTTATACATTTTGATTATAATGATAAAATATAATTAATACTGTTGAGTTAATCGAAAAGATGAAACAACTAAGAAGTGAGTGAATTCGCAATTAAAAAATTTGGTGGGAGTTTGAGAGAAAAAGTAAACAAATGAACACTAAGTATCGGACTATTTTAGTATACTAGAATTTGACAGACTCAAAACAAAAAAGATAGTATCGGTACTACTACACTAAGTAGTATCGATACCGTATATAGTATCGATATCATTTTAGCATTATGTTTTGACAGTATCAGTACTACTATACTAAGTAGTGTAGATACCTTAAATAGTATAGGTACCATTTTAGCATTTTGTTTTGATAGTATCGGTACTAACTTACTTAGCAGTATCGGTACTACTTCATTGGTTTGGGCTTCAACATCGATATCTATATCGATACTTCTTGAACATTATCAATACTGTTCTAGTAGTATCGATACTACTATACTTAAAAATCATTTTTGACTCGATACCGTTCTAGTAGTATCTATATACGATTTTTTATCATTTCTATTAATATTATTATAATTTTTGATTTATTTTATATTTTAATATTATATGAATCTCATCATGTTCTATAGACTATGCTTTAATTAATATTTATTATTATTATTATTTATTAAGAAGATATATAAAGATACTCTAATCAATAATAATAATCATACTATGCTCTTAATAGGAGTATGATTTTGTTTAATATTTAATCTATTATTATTTTTTTTTTATTTTAACATTATATGAATCAAAGAAATAATGATATACTCTTAATAATATTATTAAATAATAAAATAATTAATTAATTTAGGAGGGAAATTTCCCTCTATTATCTTTTAAAGGAAATTGAGTTTTAGGGGAAACTAATTTTTAGGGAAATTTATTTTTAATAGGGTGGTGGAGAAGAAGATAAAGAAGAAGGCGGTGTAGCTATGGCGAGGCGAAACTCAGAAAACGTGCCTCCTCATAGAAGAAACTCCAATGGGGGTATGCGGCTTTCAATGGAACGTATCAGTGAAGTGCCTGAAAAGAAACCCAGAAAATTCACTCGTCTTTCTTTCATGGGGTCCGTATAATTTATACTCAACATCTTCGTTATGATAGCTGTAATAAACTTGGTATTTAATGGAAGCGTTCATCTTACATGCATACCAGGCTTATGAGGAAAAACCAGTGTACTACTGCAGACAGCTTTGACAATAGTCTACTGGTGGATGCTGATCAGGATGAAAGTGATTATGATGATGAGAGGCCCGACAGTGTTGATGACAAAGTTAGACAAAAGGAAATGAGAAAGTGGATTGATTTGGCCACTACGCTTGAACGTATAGAGAAAAACTTTGTCATTACCGATCCCAGGTTGCCTGATAATCCCATTGTAAGACTTTTGAACTCTAGCTTTTATGATTTTTAATGGTGGATCATGCAAATTGGAGATTAACTTTGTAACTAAATGATTCTACTTGTCTTGATGTTCAGATCTTTGCCTCTGATAGCTTATTGGAGCTGACAGATCACATCCTGGGCAGAAATTGCAGGTATGCCTTAACAAGAAATTCCACTCATAATCTGATAGCTTAAATGGTTTGAAGAACTGGTAAAGAACGAACTTAAACCATAGCCTTTCTTGGCTGATGTTTAGCCAAAAATATTTTTGAACTAATAATGCAATTCACTTCATTTAATTTTGTGCGGTTGTTAAACCCTTAGAGGTTTCTACAAGGCCCTGAAACTGATCCGGCTGCTGTAAGGAAGATTCCAGAGGCAATCGATAACCAGACAGAAGTAACTGTGCAACTCATTAACTACACCTAGAGTGGTATGGTTATTAACATTTTTCAAGTTCCAACACCCTGGAATTGCTTAAATATGAGGAATAATCTTCAATTTTCCCGATTCATGTCATGAATGTAATGTTGTTGTCTTTCAGTATTTAAGGAGTTATCTTCCTAGACCTTTAATTATTTAAAGCTTTCTGTACACGTTTCAGGCAAGAAATTCTGGAACCTGTTCCATCTACAGCCTATACGTGATCAGAAGGTAAAATCCTCTAAATGTTCAGGGTGGAATATGGATGTTTCATCTTGCCATATAACTCCATCTCTATATATTTATTATATAAATATAAATTCCTTAATATAAAAAATTATGACAAATAATATTCTTTTACAATAACAAATTGTAATAAATTTATTTAGTTACAATAACATAGAAAATTTTGTCAAAATAAAAATTTATGCCAAATTTATTTAATCAAAATAATAATTTATAACAAATATTAATTTCTCATCATAAAAAATTGTGAAAATTTCATTTAATCAAAATAACAATTTGTAACCAATATTAATTTCTCATTATAAAAAATTGTGACAAAAAAATATTCTTTCACAATAACAAATTGTAACAAAATTATTTAGTTATAGTAAAAAGTTATAAAAAATATTTCAGTGACGAAATAAAAGTAGTGAGAAAATAAATTTTATTGTAATATGTATTTTTGTCACAAAAATCTTTTTTATTTGATGTTATAATTTAACTTAATTGTGACGAAATTTGTTTTTTGTGATAAAATAATTATTTTATTTTAACAAATATTTTGTGTATCTAAGTTACATTTCGTGACGAAATAGCAACTGCGACAAAATAATTTTTGTTGCCTTATGTATTTTCGTCACAAAAACCCTTTATATTTGATGTTTAAATATAAGTTAGTTATGACAAAATGTACTTCTCGTGACTAAATAGTTAATAGATCGTGACAAATATTTTATTGCGATAAGTTAATTATAGTAACGAAATTTCATTGTTACTGTTAGACAAAATGGTTAATCTGCGATAAAATAATAATAATAATAAATAAATATTATTATATGATCGAGCGAAGCAAAATAAATAAAACTTAAAGCAGAGGCAAGAAATTGGTTTACTCATATTTAGACAATGAATCGGATGAGTAGAGTAAGATAAACCGAAGAAAGATTTTTGTTGAGGCCTATATGAATAGTTTCCTTAAGACAGATTCGTCCTCTCCTCGGTGCTTTGAGTAACGTTGGATGTCGGTCTCTCAGGATACAACAACACGATCACAACAGTAATCACAACCGTAGTGATCAGTCGAACACAATCTTGCATTTTTCTATCACCGGAAAGAATGAATTTAGAAGGAACTTTCTAAGTGTTATCATAATTCAACTTTGTGAATTGTGTCTCAAAGTTGTCTTTGTAACTTGTATTATTTTTTTAGAATTGTGCGTCAAGTAACTTGTATTATTTTTTTTAGAATTGTGCCTCAAGTAACCTATATATAGAGGAGGAGATGGATTGAAGGGTTAAGACCTTTCGATGAAATGACTTAATCTTTCAATTAAATGACTTATCTTTTTGATGAAAAGTGCTTAACCTTTTTCATAAAAGGATTTAACCTTTTCATGAAGAGAATTGTTGAATAGGTATGATTGAATGGATGCAACTTTAAACAAAAAATTAAGTCCATTCATCAAGTGACATGACTTATTATTAATTAGCTATAAACAACATCAATTTATTCAATATTTTTCCAACAGTTACAATAAATACTATACAATGGTAACGAACACAATATACTTTACATGACAAGGTTGTTCTAACAAACATAGTAACAAATAAAATTGGTCAAAATAAATATATTGTGACAAATTTAGCACTTTTAGTGATAAATAATTTTGTTGAAACAATCAAAATTTCTTGTAGTGTTCATCACTTTCTTATATATTTATATATATCGATAATTCTGTGCACGGTATCGAAACCTATCGATAAGCTAAGTTTGCCGGTTGTCAATTTTTTTAATAGTTCTTCATGTTTTCCACCTACAACATTATTATTACTCAACATTTCCGGTAGAGCTAAACCGACTTTATTAAGTATCTTATTAAATTTCTGCTCACGCCATTTCTTAGTTGTATATTAGTTTACCTTTCCCGAGACAATCTCACTCCCTAGATATTATCAAATCGTACAAATCATATATCCTATATATAATAGGGTATGCTACACATATAACACTCTAACTATCACTTGTAATCTGTTTTTGTCACTTAATTATTTTTTTGTTTTAAAATCATACCTAACGTAACATTTTAATTTTATTTTATCACCTGTTATTAAAAATTAATAGGGTAAAGTACATAAATTGTCTCTCGACTATAGGGAAATGCTTTGTTGAATCCCTCGTTTATTAAAAGTTATAAAATGGTCACCCGACAATGTAGTATGTTCCAAACTCATCTTTTTTTTTTCTCTACAAAATTGACATCATCCTGAGTTGAATGTTAACCTACTGACTGAGATATGATAATTTTTTTAGATTCTGAGATCAAATTTTACTATATCTCAATCATCAAGTTAAAATAAAACTCAGACTGCCGTCAAATTTTTAACGGAAAAGGAAAAGTTTGGAACATACTAAATAGTCAAGTGATTATTTTGTAACTTTTAATAGTTGGGAGACTCAACAAAGCAATGCCCGATAGTCGAATGATCATTTTGTAACTTTTAATAGTTGAGGAACTCAACAAAGCATCACCCCTATATTCGGGGGATCGTTTGTATACTTTACCCAAATTAATAAAACTATTGATGTCACAATTTTAAAATTTTTTAATGATGACATGTCAGCATCATCGTTAATTTTTTAATAGTGAATGACTAAAATAAAATTAAAACGTAATTTTATGTATGATTTTAAAATAAAAAGTAGTTGAGTGACTAAAACGAAATAAAAATAATAGTTAGAATACTAAATATGTAGTTTACCCTATATAATATAACAAGATACAATATAACAAAGTAAGACTAGAAATCTTATTATGTACTATAATCTTATTGTTTGATAAAAAATATTTAAAAATAAATTATAAGTTTAATTACTTTTGTTTTAATTTTATCTGGTTTTTTTCCATTATATATTTTTTTAAAATTATCACTTTCGTTATTAATTTAATACATTTTGTTTAGTATTAACTTTCATTGTTTCATCCAATCCATTCCCATCTATGCAATGTCCTGCTTTCTCTTACATAATAGTTTCTGTACATAATTAGAGGTCATCACAACTAGATATTGGTGGCAACATTCGGCTAAGAAGGGCATCCATTGGTGCACTTGGAATGTGCTTTGTAAGCCTAAAAATAAAGGGTATGGGCTTTAGAGATTTCGGCAAGTTTAATATTACACTTCTCGCGAAACAGGGGTGGCGTATCATTTCTAAACCTAATTCACTTGTGGGAAGGTTACTTCGCTCTAAATATTTTTCCAAACTCAGATTTCCTTCAAGCTCCTCTTGGCTCTAATCCCTCTTTAGTTTGGCAAAGCATATGGAGCGCCAAAGGTTTACTTGAAAAAAGCCCACAATGGAAAATCGGAACATGTTCTTCGATGTCAATCTGGAATGACTATTGCCTACCAGATATTCCGAATCGAAAAATTGTGACTACAAGGGTGAATCATTTAACTACAGTGGCCGAGCTAATACTTTCTGAGGAAAGAAGATGGAATTTTACTTTAATACATTCGGTATTTAGTAGGGAAGAAGCTAAAACAATCCTCACTATCCCTCTCTCTTGTTTCCCTCAAGAGGACATCTTGCGTTGGGCAGGAGAAGGTTTTGGTTCCAATTCGGTTCGAAGTGGTTACAAGTTACTCACTTCCTCGGATAATCCTCATAATTCAGGTTCAAAAATTTTCAAATTTATCTGGACTATTACATGGCCCTCCAAAGTAAAAATCATACTTTGGAAGTTCTCTCTTAATTTTGCTCCCACAATGCACAATTTATTGATTAAAAGGGTTTCATCGTCATCTACTTGTCCTTGGATCCATATTAGAAAATGTCATTCATGTTAGCACGGACTGTTTTTTGCCAGCTGGGTTTGGCAAGAACTAGAAGTTAAATGAAATTCGTCAGCAAAGCAAATCGATTTCAAAGAATGGCTTCTGGGGCTTTCTACAACAACTAATAAAAGCAAGCATACTCTAATTGGCATCACTATTTGGTCTTTATCGGGAGTACGAAACAAGTACATCTATGAAGGACAAAAGCAAACAGTTTCAAGCTTACTTACCTCCATTCATAATCACTGCAGGGAATTATCATCAGTTTATTCGGCCTTGACCCACCCTCATACTCACAATCAAGCCAATTGGGAACCTCCACCTAATCCGATCTCCAAAGTTAATGTTGATGCGAGTTTCAATCAAAAAGAAAATAAAACTTGCTCAGGTATCATCATTTGCGATAACGAAGGTCATATTTTGGGTTCTTGCCATATCATCAATCATCCGGTCACATTTGTCTTCATGGTCGGGGCATTAGCTGCTTTACAGGGGATACAATTTGCATTAGATATTCGCCTCAACAGGATTATAATTGAGAGTTATGCAAAACCCATCATCAACAAACTAAAGAGCAACGAAACTGACCTATCGAAAATCAATGCTCTCACTCGAGATGTAAAGCTCCCTGCACACAACTTCCATGTTGGGACTGTCGGCGCACCCC